CACAATTTTCACATAAGCTCCGGGCTGCTTTCACCCCTGTCTTGCTATAAGCAAGACAGATGCAGTAAAAGTGAAGCAGTGCATGAAATCAAAGAGTCTCTGATTAAACACCATTGGCCTGGAGACAGTCTGACGAGGCTGCCCTCCAACCAGGACTACCTGAGATGTTAAAAAAGGGGCGTAGGAAGAGGGAGATGCAACCAATGAAGTAAGCAAAATTGCCCTTTCAGTATCAGAATTATATTGATTATTTATTGTATGTTATGGTGTTTGATTTTCACTTATTTTGGTATGTAAACAAAATAAAGATCCTGTACCAGAAGTGTATTAATTATAAGTAGTCTTATCTGAACTTTTTTTTCCTCACAGCAGTCTTTGTAACTTCAACTAATACTGTAAGTCCGGATACTTAGTAATACATAACTACATGTATTACTATACTATATGGATAGCCTATTTTCATAAATTAATTGGGCTTGTCATTCCAGGTTTAATGTTTTATTTATTTAAGAAATGTGGTTGCAGTAAATTCATTTATTGAATTAGATATTATTTTATTTAGTTATTTATTTATTTAAAAAAAAATTACAATAACTAATACACTGTAAAAAAAATAATAATAAAAAAATAAAACCGTATTTTTTACGGTAAAAAAAGGCAGCTGTGGTTGCCAGAACTTTACCGTCAAAAATACGGTAGCGACGTTATTGGTTTTACAGTCTGAACTTAAAATTTACAGTAATAAGCCATATTTCATTATCTGATATAATGTTAATTTACCAACTTATTGAAGTATTGATATCTGTTTTGTTCCACTGTATTACACTGACAACCAACAATCATCACAGCAGTGATTAAAGTCACATGATTTATCAAAGCTCATCACAAGCAGCTTTTCCACAAGAAGTTTACTACTTACATAAAGAAGCTGCACATTGTCATTCACACAAACATTAAACACCATGATGGTAACACACGAAATAATTTTAAAAAGTGCTATAAAAATTAATTTAACAACATTAAATGTAACATAAAACCCTAATGTACATAACTGATTAGAAAAAACAAAAACAAACAAACAAACAAAAAAAAACAAGAAAACTATGAGGGAACAGTTATTTCAACAAAAAATATGAGAATGTCAAGTTATGGTTTTTCATTGTAAATTGTACAATGAGTTGTTCTTCTTTACTTTCAAAAACTGTCAATTTAACAGTATTTTAAATGAAATGTACCTAGATGTATCACAGTGTTTTTATTTACCGTACATATTACGGAAACTTTCTGTTAACCAATTAACAGTTTTGCACTGTGGCATTTTTACAGTTTTCTACCATTAAAATCACGATTATTTTTTAGTGTATTTTTCTGTGATACATCTTGTATTATTATTATTTCTTAAAGAAAAGGATTTCTTTGCCACACACATAAAGAGTATTATTACTCTTTTTTTAAAATGTGGTTCTGACGTCATGTTAGTTCATTAGCAATTGTGATCATGTGTACATTTAAAGCCAAAAGTCCAAATCAATAGGCTACCACATTAGAACTGCACGCTCCCCTCACTTGAACAGAAGCGAGTGGTTTATTGGCAAACTAATCAAAGGTCATTAATACCAGCCAATTCTACACATCAGCAGGCAGCATGACCTGTATCTAAATGTGACCGATCTTTCTCATAAATGTAAGGAATTGTACAAAAATAAAACAATTTGAGTAACATGATTCTTTATGATGACAAAAACATTTCAATCATATTAAAGGTGATCTCTTTCAGATTGTCGGTCTCCCTAGACCTCCTCACGTCTCATGTTGGTGATATTGAGGTAGTGTTACTGGATCTTGAGCATTATCTAAAGGTCATATCAATGAGTCATTGACACAGCTAGCACTGTGTTAGTGGTGAACAAAGCTACGCAGCCATGTCAATGTATGTTTGCAGCCTTTGTGTTGTTCAGAGAGATTTTAAGGTGAATTGTTTTATATTAAATCATTTGACACGTAAAGAAATTAACAGTAATTTGACATTTATCTATAAAACTGTGAAATTGCGTAAGAATGATGCCAAGTTAGTAATTTAGCATGTGTTTTAAAGTGTATAGCTTCTGTCGTTTTGAATTTTCTCTTCTATTGTGGATTTTATTTAGGGTTTTTGGCATCAAAGAATGTAGGGGAGCGTGGGGCACAACGTAACGCTGGGCTAGTTGTAATACGTTTGTTTTAAATACTTACACACATGCTAGCATTACGAAATTTGGTGTATTTACTAGTTGCCATTTCAACACTATACAGAGAAAAAAATTGCGACAAAATTCCGAAATCTTTGTGATATCACTGAACATTTATTTAACCATAGCAAAAGTACATTTCTTACTTAAGTTAATGTTTCATCTCAAATTTTTGTGTTTATTTAAAATTAGACAAATCTGATATTATTTTAATCTACATTCTGTTTTTTAATATTCAATATAGTTATTTAATGCTTTGCCAACTAGCAGAAGACACTAGCAGGGTTTAAACGCCAGTTGTGCAGTTGGGGCATGTTGTAACACTGCATTACAATGTGCCCCTATTAGAAATATGCTATTATATTACTTTTATGAATTCTATTGAGAAAACAAGAGAAACATGTAAATAAAGACTGAGAGTCAATGTTCAGAAATGATTAATTTTTATTTTGTTTTGAACTATGCTGTATAACTTTGCTTTCTGGTGTGTTTGTTGTCAAACTCAAAAATTAGTATATCTCTAATTATTAAAAAAATGCCATTATTTTATATGAAAAAGTTAATAATTGGATTTTATTAAGAAAATATTTTGGTTTGACTTGTGTGTATATATATATATATATATATATATATATATATATATATATATATATATATGTATATATATATATATATATATATATATATATATATATATATCAGATAGCATTTTAAGCTGTTATATGGTGATGTTACAATGTGCCCCTCACATGTTACAATGTACCCCACCTATTGGGCATCTTGTCACATTTCACTTCCATTCTTTCAGGGTAAGTCAAGAAAAAAGTATACACTGTATTAATAAAACAAAACCACATTATTGTACTAGACAAGTGGTACATTAATGTGGGGGAAAAAAATGATCTAAACCCTAAGTAGATTTAACAAAGTCAAAAAGTGTTGTGCCCTGCTCTCCCCTATTGTAATGTAACTTTGTGTGAAGTATAACTTCACCAACATAGCACATAACCTCATCAGAAACAAAGACTGATATTTTGGGGTGTTTGAAACTGCTTACATGCTACTGCCCACCTGTCAGGAGGCAACAGGCATTTAGACAAAATGCTAATGCTAAAACAGCTAAATTTATTTCACCTCCCTGTATAACCCATGATGGATTGCGAGGATGTGAATCCAACAAAGCATCAGGCTGGTGATAACCAAGGCCTATGATTAATCCACAGTGAAAGTTTTGTGAACACTCTACTGCTTGTTTATGGTGCTCTAAAGCTAAGCTGTAGCTTCTTTAGCTCAACAATGTTTCACTAGAAGTATCTCATTATAACTTCCAATGAAAAATGCAGCCTTTCCAATTGAACCCCTTCTGGTTGCATGCTATCTTAGTGGGGAAACTGGGGTTAGTGTACGACCTGCTATAAACTATAGAGCAGCTATACTCATTCAATTATATATACTCACTCAAGGTACTGTTAGTGATAAAATGTACAGTGGGAGTAAATTACAGTTGATATACTAACACGCAGAAAGAGATTTGGTCTCGTCAATGATGCATACGACGGAATTTATTGTGGAAAAGATTCATTTTTGGTGTCTAAGTAATTAAAGTAGATTTTTGACCCTACGCACTGTCTCGTAAAGGTATATTTTAAATAGACAGAAAGGCTACAGTGGGTTCTCAACAGGAGAGGATGCTGAATATAGTAATTAAATGTGCCGGCAAATAGCACCAAACTCATCAACGAGAGCGTTTTTAATGAAATAACACTCTAAATGAACACTGGGAGAAAATAAAAAGTGAGCAATGGCTTTTCGTTGTACTCTGAAATTTTAATTGCCTGTCTGGAGAATATTAGATAAAGCTTGATTAGAAATAAATTGGAAATCTCCGCTGAATGCATCTGCTGATGGGAGTATTATTAAAGCAGACTGCTGTAGAGGACCAGCCCAAAATAAATAAATAAATGAAAAGTGAATCTGGAACTGATTGATTGAACACCAGCCCGTTTTTCCTAGAGATTAAAAAACTTTGATAGACATGAAGGGACTCTCTCTCTCTCTCTCTCTCTCTCTCTCTCTCTCTCTCTCTCTCTCTCTCTCTCTCTCTCTCTCTCTCTCTCTCTCTCTCTCTCTCTCTCTCTCTCTCTCTCTCTCTCTCTCTCTCTCTCTCTCTCTCTCTCTCATGATGAATCTTGCCTTTTTTATTTAGTAGTTTGTCTGTTTGTTTTTTTTGGTCAGACATGGCCCATCAATGCAACAGCTGATAAAAGTATTTTAACTATATATCTGGCAGAAATGGTAAAAGATAGTAGTGCTATTCTTAATTCAGCCCAAGTTTCTGTTTCAACCAATCGCAATGGTTATGGTTTGGTTTATCGGTTGGATGGTTACCATTTCTGTAGAGTTGTGTTGAGTAGCTCTACCCACATTGGAAATTTCTCCAATTCAAGCATTAAGCCTGGAATGACTAAAAAAGTTGGAAAACAGACACTGAATATTATAAGACAAATCTTTCAAGTTCCATCTGAAGAAACATCACATAAGCCATGCAAAAGTTTCCTACTTTTTGCCATTTTGTTGTAGCAGAAGTGGCTAAGTGTGCTAAAGCTAGCTGCAACACATCAGGTGCATTTGAAACGTCATTTTCTTCAAATGAACAACAACAAATGCTTCCATGTAGTAAAAAAAAAAAAAAAGTTTCATTTGAGATGTCACGATTGTTAAAAAATTAAGTAATGTACAATATAACTGCGCAACATATGCATCATTTGGTGATGCATCTTTACAATCTTCAGAAGTGCAATGCGAGGCTTGACAGGACCCGTCCACACACAGTTCTGATTGGCTGAGGTGTTTGCTTTCAGTGTCTGGTCATGTTGTGCCTGGTTAGGATGTGATGTAAAAGACAAGTCGGTATTTACATAACACTAAATGGGTGTGTACATCCATGAAGAGGTCAAACTGACAAAGAGGTCAAGCAATTAAAAGACAAAGACCTTAAAAAGTATCAAAGAACAACGTGAAGAGCCTCGTTCTCTCTTCCTCCTCATTACATATGTTCTTCCTCATGTATAAGTGTGACCTCTGACTTTTCCCCCTGATTTATTTCCCGTGTCTGTCGTCATCATTGGTTCCTAGCTGCCGTTAGCACCCAATTAAACTTAAAGGTCTGTGTGAAGAATCCGACTGAAAAATTATTTGAGCCCCCTAATTATATAATTTCCACCTCTGCCTCACATAAATTCAAGCTACGCTTTTAATGGCCTTTAGTACTTGTTCAGCAACTTATAAATTTCAGTGATCCTTGGAAAAGGAGTGAGGAGATGTGCTTTGTAGATGAATCCCGCCATTGCAGAGACTCTGTAATGCTTCCTGCTGACCTTTGGGTGGTAAAGCAGATTTATTAGGCAGTGAACTGCATTTTCCACTGCAAGAGGATGGCGGGCACGTACACCCACTCTTGCCAAGATATCATCAGTGTATGTGAAATCATTTTAGTATGGAGTAATGCAAACTCTTTCAAAGTAATGCATGTTCAGAGTATAACATTTAATATAAAATTAATAATAAATTAATTTTATGGATTGTAAATACATTGGTGCAATTGTCCAGCATGATTTAATTAGAATTCAAAAGTGTTTGTATGAAATGCTTACATTTATGTTTTGTCGTTTTGGATATAATACAATATGGACAACAATAAACAGCCCGTTCTCATCCTTTAGCATCATATAGGTGACGCCATTCTTCGAAATACTATGCACATGGCACCCTTTAGCGTCAATATAACACGCAGAACCCAAGGCGTCATACAGGTGAGTGGCATTGGATGGGGAGCTGGGCTCTGGAGATGATGACTCGGCTGCGCTGCCTCCCTCTGGGAGACCAGCGTTGTCCGAGTCGGATCCAGCTATGATGAAAAAGGCCGCCGAGGTGGTTGGAACGAGGTCCACTATCACCATCTGAGGGGCCATGTACAAAGGGCATGCTTTAACGGAGGCCTGGGTGACCTCCGACTGCATTGGTATCCGTCCCTCGAATTGTTGCAGTTCCCCTCACTTTGAGCCATTGGTGCTCAGCGAGCTGGTACTGGGTCTGATCACGACCGTTACGCTATGCTTCCCTCGCATCTTAGAACTCAGACTAATCTCATTAAATGGCGTGTGTATGACACACCAATTTGTATTGCATTTTTGGCGTGCTATCAACATGCATAATCACTTTTCAGTGCGTTTATGAACGCCGTTGATTTAACGTTACATTACTGTATATATAAATATGTCCCTAAACCTAAAAAAAATCTGTCCCTAAACCTACCCGTCACTGGGGTTAATACCATTCATGAGTCTTCCCCTACCATCCTAGGGAAAAAAATATCACTCCCCAGATGTATATCTACATTTGTCTTCGTTTCGCTCGGACATTTAACGGCGTGTACATACGGAATCACTCTGATATTTAACTGTGTAGACATACACGCATACATGTGGATATACGTGGATAGCTCAAAATGTGTATCTATAGATAACATGGCCACTTGTCTTGAAAGTGGCGTGTATGTTTACGTAAAAGTCATGATGTCATGTTGCACAACTCGTCTGTCACCTCCTCCTTGGAGTCAGACGCTTCTGAGGATGCTTCATTTCACTATTCTTCCGGCCTTCTTATCGTGCCGCCAACAAGCCTCATGACAGCTTTAGCCAGGGAGAGTAGAGACTCCTGGAGGTCTAGCTGGGCAGGGACTTTCTTGGGGCCGCACATTAACATCTATGTGCCTCTCCAGAGTCCTCCCACAACAACCCCCCAGTGTCTGACTGGCTCTCAACTGGCCCCAGGGCTCCGCAGAAATGTGTTCCCCAGTGAGCCTCCTAAAAAGCATCTGCGATTCATTGTCACTTGGCGCCAGCTCAAGTTCAGTGATTTCATCACACTCACGTGACATGTTGAGCAGAAATGTTCCTGAAACTCAGAGAAGTTCATCGCACTCAGGTGTTGAGCAGAAATGTTTCTGTAGCTCAGTGAAATTCATCACACTCAGGTGTTGAGCAGAAATGCTCCTGAAGCTCAGTGATCTTCACATGTAGTGTTAAGCAGTGCTCCTGAATTTTGTGTCTGTCGCTTGCACTTACTGTGCCAGGTCAGGAGTGGAGCAGGTCTTGATAGTTGCCCCTTTTGGCCCAACCGGACCTTGCTCCCCTCGACAGGCTTCCTGACTTCCCCTGAACACATTTTCAGGGAAGGGGCATGATGGCACCCACGTTCTGACCCCTGAAGATCCCGGACCGGGCCTACACTGGACTCGAAGGTTCAGGTGGCTATCACAGGAACATGTGGCAGTTACCAAAATTTCTGCGAGTACCCCCTAAGGAAAGAGGTAAAGTGCTTACGCATTAGAAGGGGAACCTATTCGTTGAGTGAGTCTTGAGTTGAGTCAGAAAGCTTTCGATTATTTCAGTACTCTCTTTCCTGCAAGTTGAGTGGAGTAGGTTGTTCTTCCACCCTCGAAATGATGTTGCCACTGTCTTGATGCAGGCGTTTGAAAAGCACATCCTGATCGTCAGGTTTCTGAGGGCGCTAAGGAAAATGTAACCTTGTGCCCCTCTTTATCCTCTTGGCCCTTATCCCCTGTGCCACTACAGGCAGTGAGTTAAAAATTCTGTGTTTACAGTTCTCCTGTCCGCATGGCCTCTACTAGAGGGTGTAGGGTAGTCAACCAATTGTGCCTGAAGTTCACGCCGGCTACTCTCACGAGCTGAGACCCCAGCCTGGATTGTGCCCAAGGTTCCTACCTCTCCCGTAATATTATCAGGTGGTGAGCCTGCAAGTGCTGTCCAGGAGGAGGAAGACCAAGCCCTGGTTTTCTCTGTCCGTCCGCTTCATAGCGGTTAGACGTGTACAGAACGCAAGCCTTAGACCTCAGACCAGGTCTTATCTTTTAGATTCAGCATAGAGGGAAGGCTGTTTCCAAGCAAAGTTGGCCCACTGATGGTGGCTGCCTTTAATTCGGTTCTTCTACAAGCTCCTCTACAATGAGTGTGTGCTCTGCCTGAGCGTTGACAGAGTGCCTTGCTGACAGATTTCTAGAGGTTGGGGCTGGGCGACACCTAGTTTGAACTGCTGCTTCCGTGGGCTCCTTCTCCTGAAGCCAGTTCACCCTGAGCCCTGTTGAAGTGTCAGCTTGCTGCACCATTACCCTCCTATGGACTGGATATATGCGCCTTCTACTCCAGTTAAGTTCCCTTGAACTGAACGCTGTTGAGTTCCTCCACACCTCTCCGACATCAGATGTGCAGAACGTCTGGTGTTGGGCCTACCACTCGTAAGCAAGTGTAGAACTTATGTTAGGCTGTGTCCATATGTGATGCGATCCAGGAAAACCCGTCGGATGTCGTGCTGGTATTCCATGTGTATGTGTATTCTCCATGTTACCTCCTTCCAGGGTTGGATATGGCTTCTGCAGCATCCCTTCCTTCCAATTTTCGGGGAACGCTTTCCTAGTGGTCTTGTAGAAAGAGCAGTGACTTCCCTGGCCTAAGCCCTGTCCTTCCCCACCTTAATTTGCAGGGGCATCAGGAGGCTTTTGTCTAGGCACTGGAAGGTGGCAGCTTTAGTGGCGTTTTCAAAGGTTATCTGCATTCAGTTGACCATTGACTACGTCCGACGTTATCGACTGAAAAGGAACGTCCTGGTTGCGTATGCAACTCACTGTTCCCGGAAGGAGGGAACAGAGGACGTAGTCCCCTTGCCACTACCGCTGGACCACCGCTGACTCCGGGTTACTCTCGGCTCCTCAGCGAAAAAGCAACTAGTGCCTGCATCAACTTTTGTATTTATACCCACGTGCTGGGGCAGAGTGTGTGATGCGAATCACGCACGCTAATTACATTGGCTCGTTCAATAGTACTCAAAGAATATAGGCTCTCTGACAAATATAGGATCTCGATCGTTGACTGCGTCCTCCGTTCTCTCTTTCAGGGAATGTTGAGTAGAATTCGCAGATCTCATTGCCCATTGACTACCATAGTATTCCTACTATGGTATTTAATGGGGAATGACATCTGTTTGATTAAAACATTCTTCCAAATATCTTCCTTTGTGTATAGCAGAACAAATATACATTTCATTTTTGGGTGAACTAACCCTTTAATAGTAGCTTAGTTAACTAATCTAATTAAGTTAAGTCTTTTATACACCGATTCAGAGGTCTTGTGAGTTCAGTGTTGGGCAGGTCAGTTGTTTTAACTATTCATTAAAGTGAAAAGTTAAAATGAGTTGTTTGTGTATCGGACGCGTCATTAATGATGTCTAGCCACAGCACGCGATTATCTCGGCAGTTTAGGACATCGCGCAATATTTGCGCCAATACAGAAAACATTTAATCACTGGGTAGGTTTTTTTTTTCGTTTATTGAAATGTGGTTTATGTCAGCTGAATAAGCGGAACGCTTTTTAGAGAAGATATGCACGCAATGTGTTTTTTTTAGCACAATTCACACACCGTGGTAATTTAGGAGAAAAAAAAATCTCCAATTGCTTTACGTGAAACTGCGGCCTTCCAACATTTTACAAAGGTTTTAACCGTTTGACCTTTTACCGTTTCAATTGATTTTGATTAATATGCGTGAGGGAGAGAGAGCAAGACATTCGCTTGGCTTCGCTTCGCTTCGCTTGGTTGAACCAACTTTGAACAAGCACCAGTTGCGAACCCGTTCTTTTTTGGTGGAAAAGGGGTATCAGTCTATACAGTTGTAGTTTGTTTTACATTCTTAAATGTGTTGGTAATATTGTATTGTTCAACGTCTCTGCAATAAATTAGTGAACCTGGTGCTAAACAATGCAGACAGCACGTAAATAATCGGTTTAACACAATTACTTTTCAATGAATTCCCACCTGAATCATTCTTTTTCAGAATTTTTTAGAGACTGATTCGATAGATCAAAACAACACCACCCAACCCCCAACAAACAAACTCACCTTTCTAGAAATGACCGGTCTGTTGCCTGTAATTGGCTTGGCTTGATGTTTTCAATACAAGGAGGAACAAAGGGCCGTTTTGGTGAAATAAGTAGCCCAGGATAACAGTAGCCATCAGGGTGACAGGCAGGGCAGGAGGTCAGCAGACTGCAGAGCATGTTCAGTGGGGCGCTGGGTAATAGAGGACACTGGGGACACTCCAGCCCAGTCGGCCGAGAGAGAGAGAGAGAGAGAGAGAGAGAGAGAGAGAGAGAGAGAGAGAGAGAGAGAGAGAGAGAGAGAGAGAGAGAGAGAGAGAGAGAGAGAGAGAGAGAGAGAGACTCTGTTTTAATAAGACAGACAAACCCAGAGGTCTCAGCGCCAAAAAAAAAAGATGAAAAGAAAGAAAGTTTTTTTTTTTTTTTTACTAATACCAGCCATCCATGTATTCCTGCTGATGAGTACAGTTACATGTTTCTAGACGGGTGTTATGGGTCAGTAATGGAGCACTATCTTTCCCCCCCCCCTACAAATCTATTGATTTATTTAAAGAAAAAAAAAATGCAATTCATACATTGATTATTTGAATACACATATTCAAAGATAGCCATGTTTTAAATTTCATGAAATAGGGATAAAGTAAAAAAAGGTGTTATAATCATAATGGATAAAAATCTTTATTAAAAATAAAATCATATGAAACATTAATAGGCCTATTTATTAGGGAAAATACAGTGAAGTATATTATTAAAATGAATTGAATATAATAAAGAATAATATAATACAATGTAAACGGACATCTAATTGGGTCAAAATATATTTTTTCAAGTTATAAAACAAGACAGCAAAAGAGAATCATCATCACCACCTTCTCACATGTGTTTTCTTCACAAATGTAACTCACAGTCTGTATCAGGTTAATGTGATTCTCTTGTTGGTGTGAGAGTGAGATATAGTTATTGTGTCTCAATGTTTTTCCTTTTCCCTTTTCCTCCATTTTGATAACATTGATTAGACTAGGGGAAAAAGGAGAGATAGAGAAGGAGAGAGAGGTGAAGATGCCGACATTCTATCACGGCAGACACATATTGACTGGCAGTCTGAAACTAGTCACTCACTCATCAGGGCTGGCTGGGCTGATTGAGTTGCCAGGAGCGCGTAAATGAGGCCTCCATCCACTGCGCTTTGAAATGAACTGCAATCTTTTTCAGGCCTTGTTGTTTGGGCAGCTGAGAGAAAGAAAACGACAGAGAGGGAAAGAAAGAGAGGGGGAAGGAGATGGATTTAAAACCCTAGAGTATGGAGGAGAATAAGTTTGTTGAAAGAAAAGGGTGAGATAAGAAAAAAAATGTGTGCAATAATGAGCGAATCTGAAATGGTGGAGCTGATGTGTTTTGGGTTGTTGGTGTGTATGGATTCTTGAGTACTGGACAAAGGTAACAGGGCAAATGTTATATTAAGGAATTATTTCGGATGAGTCTGAAGTATTCGCTTATGTTTGGTACCCATCTCTCATAACATCTGTGTTTTCCGTTGCCTGCCTTAGTATTGTCAGAGAAATAATGTGTCAAATATTCATTATATTATAAAATTGACATAGCATTACTTCGAAAAATTCATTAACTGAGACTACAGGATGGGTTTTTAGTTCCATCTATTCATTTGCTACATTAGAAAATCTCATGATTAAATAATAATTTTCATATCATCCATATATTAAATGCAACTGCCATTTTGTTGATTTAACTTCTTCCTTCAGTCAAGACATAAAGTCAAATTTATATTTCCTTTTTTCTTAAGATTAATATACACATATGGTCACACTTTAGTTTTGGGAACACATAATCACTAATAACTACGAGTCTATGACTTTTACCTCAATAAACGTACTGCTTTTTGTCAGTAAGGTTGTTGAATTGGTTAGGTTAAGGTATTGGTATAAATTGAAGGCATGTAGAATATGACATTAATATGTGCTTAAATAAGTAGCCTACTAGTGAAAGCCAATATGTTAGTAATATGCAAGCTATAAGCAACTTAATAGTCTGAATTGGTCCCCAAAGAAAGGTGGATAGTGAGGGATAATTAACATTCAATTATGAGATAAATTTTCTATTGACAAGGTAAAACAGCTTGGACACCTATTGTTTTCATAATACTGATTAGATCCCTAAAAAAAACTTTGATATGCATATAGAGCCCTTAGAAAAAAAGAAGCACATGGCTGTTTATATTTTATGTGTATTTCTCTACCTCATTTCTCTTTTCCTCTAGGAGTCACCATAGTCTGCTTTCTCTCAGGTCCTGGACTGTGCCCTCACATTTTACCTTTCACAACCTCACTAACACTGGCCCAGACCTCAGTTAGCGCAGCTAAAAGGGGTGTTTACAGTGTTTCCTAAACTCTTCTCTATGTCTCTCTCTATTCCTCTATTTCAATTTAGTGCTCTTTATTGGTTGGACAAAACAAATTTGCTTTGACATAAGGTTTGTCAATTCAAAATTTGGAGTCAGTGAGAAATATACATTTATTTGATGAAAATAGAGTAAAAACAGTAGCATTATGAAATATTATTACAATTTAAAATAACTGTTTTCTACTTAAATGTATTAAAATGTAAATCATTCATGTGGTGGCAAAACTGAATTTGTAGCTGTCATTACTCCAGTCTTCGGTGTCACATGATCCTTCAGATATTATTCTAAAAGCTCAAGAAACATTTATTATTATGAATGTTGAAGATTTGTGCTGCTTTTTATTATTTTGATCAATGGAAAGTTAAAAAGAACAACATTTATTTTTAACAAATTTGTACAAATTTAAACATATTTACTGTCACTTTAACCCCCTGGGTGTTTAACCCCCACTTTAACCGACCAAAATGTATTTGGGGTCCTTGAGGTGTTCTGACATGCCCTGACATCTGTGCTTTTTAAGTTGCTTATAAACATATTAATGGCACAGGTGAAATTACACTATATTTAGCACAAAAAGGGCAACCATAATATGTAAGCAACATGTATGTACATGTTTGTATTTTTGAGAGAATATGGTTTATGCGTGGTTATTGAAAAAAAAGAAAGTTTCTGAAGTAAGGCATCAAAACACATATGCGTCCACAAGACTTTTGATTAATGTATGTTGTGGCCTAGAGTTTTTTCTTCACAATGATCTGAAAATCATCCTCCTAATCTTTCACATAAAACTGTGAATTGAGATATATTGTAAAAGACATTTTTTTGTTTGCCAAGGCAATATGCGAATGGGTGTGAACAGGCGAGCCCTCATCATGTATAATTAGATGATTCTCACCTGAGAGAGACAAAGACACGCATAATAATGAGCCTTTCGTTCAATGTCAATAGTGCCAAATTAAAAAAGTTTAAAAAAAACTGGTGCAGAGTAACAAAGAAAGTAGCAACAGAGCCAGTCTAAGGGCCGTTACATAGTCAACGCGAGCTACGCGAGCAAGCAACGTGAGTGACGCGAGCGACGCGCTCCCTTTCATAGTGTAAAAGCAGACGCAAGCGTCACGGGCGATGCGTAAAATGCAATACACCGGTCACGCAACAGGGGGTAGTAGATTTTTCACTGCAAACCTGAAAAAGCGGTGAAGCTCGTGAAGGCGTGCGTGGCTCTCCACAACTTTCTGGCATCCACTGAACGTACCATGCCCGCCGCCTTTGTGGATGCGAAGTCTGACACCGGAGAGGTCCAGCCTGGAGAGTGGAGGCAGCACGTTGTGGGGGACCAGAACATGGTCGACGGACCACGGTTTTCGGACGGCAGCAGCAGACCCTCCCGGAGAGCGGCACTTGTAAGGGAGCAGCTGGCTGATTACTTTTTATCAGATGCTGGCGTGTTTCCCCACCAATACAGTGTGCTACGATTGGGTGGCACTGACAAATAAATTGATAAAAGTTTGATTTGAAGCATGAGTTTTTTATTATTATTTAACACTTTACACATTTTAACTTATTTGGTATTATGTGAAAACCATTACACATTTTTTATAATTTGGTATTATTTAACTTTGTAAAAACCATTACACATTTTAACTAATTTGGTATTTTAATTCATTAATTCATATCCATAAACCATTAATTCATATAACCAGGCTGGTAAATTTGTCACGGGCACTTTTCCAGACCATTTTCACCCGTCTTTCCCATCGCGATTGCAACCTCTCTCCAGGCATTTTCCAACGCAATTTTATTTGAGTGTACTAATTGTGATGAACTGTCGTATAAATGCGGATGAACGCGTATAAGCTTGTATAATTTTTCTTCCTCGCCCGCCATTGTATTCAAACCTTCTTCTTCTGTTAACATGATATATTTGAATTAATGTACAATTCTTGCAATGTCGCCCCCACCGATACGCATAGTATTGCGCGCATCAGTGCGTCGCGTATCAAAAACTAGGACGACACATTTGGCTACGCATCGACGCATAATGGCGGCCAAAGCGTAGCGATGCATAGCCTTGCGGACGCGTATGCGTACCGATGCGTTGACTATGTAACGGCCTTAACGGAGAGCCTTGGCACTTCCTATTAGCCCTATTGTGCATCATCTTGGTTGCTGTTCCATTAGAATTCCACCAGAGGTGATCGCGGGCGAGTGCAGAATGAATGGGAGTCTATGGGGCTAAACGGCTAAATGTGTCTCTTTCACCTGCTTGTCGTTAAATCAACATAGATTGTATTGCTGATTCCGCAAGTTCAATATAGATTATAGGCCAAAAGTCGAATGAACGAGTACTTATGTCCTTTTGATTTCTTACAGGTTAGGCCGTTGTTGGCCGGAACACGCTAGCATTCTGCTATTGTGTGACGTCATCACATTTTTGAACGGATTTTTAGAACAGATAAGTGAACTTAAAAATGCAATTTTCAGTGTATTATCTTAGCCCTCCCTTTTGAATGCAACTTTCAAATTACTTGACAAAAAATTACATCCTGAGAAAAATGGATTTCTGGGGATGAAACCCCATTGACTCCCATTCATTCTGCACTCGACCGCGAGCGCCCCCGCATGGACAGAGACGTGTTACTGCAGCCAGTCCATAAACCGGAAGTAACCAGCCAGTGCCAATTCTCTTCAATTAGACATTCTCTGGTAGCAATTAAAACATTTAAATATATATAAAAGACACACACTGTGCTACCACACAGTTGTTTTATTTATTAACCAATGTGTTTATCTGTTTAATAGGCTTTATGCGGAGCGTCACGTGACCAAACCGGAAAACCGGTCTCATCGCATCCGCTTGTCAGAGAAAGTGTTAACGGCCGTAAGAACTGACTATGATATCTATGGATTTTTAAGGTAATCAGCTAACCTACCTAGTTCACTTTGTTATTGGCGTTTTATTCCATTTAAATATCTAAACGTTACTGTGAAGAAGAAAAAATATAAAACGTTTAAATATCAATCTGCATATGTGTGGGACAATGGTTATGCTAATCTTTGCTTGCTCCTTTTAAGTTATCTTGAGTAAAAACGCAAAAAAATTCATGAAGCACATACAAAAGACCTGGACCGGAAGCGATGAGACCTGTTCAAACAGAATGCGGAAGTAAGTTGTGCATAGAGCCTATTTAGTGGTAAAAAGTTTTCCATTAAGTTTTTCATATATCAGTGTACTTCATGTATTCGGCAGGTCTATCTTGATTTACCTTGACTGCAGTGCGGACACAAGCTTTCTTCCTGTGGCAGCCATGTTTTCCTAAGTCCGCTCTCCCCTTGTAGTGAGGTTGTTCTACTGAGTCTCTCTCTCTATCTCAGCTCACTGGAGATGCACAGACTGTGTGCAGCTAATTATAGTTAATGAAAGCTTGTTGGTGTGTGAGATAGAAGAGCAGAAAAGAAGAAGAGTTCACGCTGAGGGTAGATGTCAACTGGCTTGAACCGGAGGGTATATCGCACAATTTGTTTAAGGAGAAACTCTCACTGCATGAACATTTTCCTTTGGGGTCCGTTTCTGATTTTTGTCTTCTTAAGAATATTGTAAATTTACTTAATAGCTCATCAGTGTGCTTTGTCTTCATTAGGTTAATGAAAGGGCTCCTGTGTTTATCTTTTAAACAGATAATCGAGTCGATTACTTCCTGTCTCGGAAGATCATTTCTACACGAGTCGCTTACAGTGAAATGTTTTTTTTTTTTTCATTTGCGGGACGTGCGGTGAAGTATTCAAGGTGTGTGTTAAGACGCGTGTGTGTGTCGTAGCCATCCGTGACTGATAGCAACACTTCCTGTGTTCTCAGTAAGCACGCAGGG